AAGAATGCTCTGAAATCCTGGCAGTCATCATTTATTCACTTGTGCCATGGGAACTCTATGCTCTATGCTTTTGTCCCTGGACGTATGGTCACCAATTTCTTCTATGACTAATTGCATCAAAGTCAGTACCAACAGTGAAGTCACCTGCTCTTGGTTACAAGATAGAGGGTACATGTTTCTTATTGGCCTAATTTGATTCAGGTGGCCAGCACCAAATCTCTTTGACTTAGGAATGTGTGACAGATGTGATTGTTTTAACCTTCCTGAGATAATGTGAACAATGGGCTAAGGAGCTATTGTACTGTTAACACAGAGTCACGAGAGACATGAGGGCATGTATTGAGACCTCGCTCCAAAAGAGGGAATGAGTCAATCTGAACTATGTACTGCTTGAAATGTGTCCCCACTTCAGTGGGCACTGCCACATATTCTCCTTCTACAAACACTTTTTGATGCTAGGAATAAAAACTATATGCTATTGTTCTGACAAAGGAAACTACATTTCCTTGACACATGAACCCAAACAAGTTCTTATCTTTTACTTGCCTGGCAGAGATGAGTTTTTAAAAATCAAAACAAGGTCTCATACTGAATGTTCATTCTTGGCTTGCATCCAATTACGTCATTTCAGTTAAAGCACAAGGTCATTTTTTTATAACAAACAAGTACATGTATGAGTTCAAGGAAAGAAAATTCATCAATAGTGTTTTCTTACATTTTTCGGATTTGATTTTCTGACTAATCCAAAATTAATTTAGAAGAATTTACAACGGAGGGTGGATAGGGTGGAGGGGGAGACTAAGGAGAAGGTAAATGACCTGTGTGTGTGTGTGTGTGTGTGTGTGTGTGTGTGTGCAAGCATGTGCACTATTGCCTTTTACTAAATCATTGTTGGAGAAAAGAAGCAGAATCTAGTAGGAAAAAAACCTTTGGTCCCCACCTCATTATGTACTGCATATCATGGAATTCCTGGAGTATTCTGCATATTTGAAAGTCTAAATATTTTAGCTATTCAAAATTAAGTATGAAATAATAATTGTGACATGACCTCCGGTTTGTATATTCTCTTTGGACTTGTCAAAGAATCTGCCTCTGATTATGCTAATTACCAGAAGTGTTTTGAAACATACAATTTGTCATTTAAGGAAAAAATAACAGTATTTTTTCCCATACAGATATAACCCTAAGTTTGCAAATAATTTTTCTAAGAAATCAGTCTGCTGGTGATACACATATTCCATAATATTGTTTCATTTTTTCCACAACACATACTCAATAACACACAAAGCATGCATTGTTTGTGGAGCTGGATGAATAATGTCTGTACAATTTTAGCCACTCAGATTTTAAAAGGTCTAATCTATTAACCAATGAACAAAAACTTCCATGACTTCAACACAACAGTATTGCAATATGCTGGGTGAATATTTCCCAGTAAACATGGTAGTTATGCCAGTGCATCAAAGAAAGAATGGATGAATGTGAACTGGTTACTAATGCTGGTTCATTCTTTATTAATGGCATCAGGTCATTTTTGGCTGATATATTCATATTTACTTATATTACATAGGGAAAGCATGATTACATACTAGTTTTTGTAGGTTTTAGAACGTCTCAATTTGTGAGCACTAATTCCCTTGCAAACTTCATGCTCATAATGCTCTGGGATTTTCACTGTAGTATTTCTCTTATAGGTTATGAGTAGTATTTGTTAAATGTATTTTTTAACATTGAGTTGCAGACATGTTTTGAATGCATGTATGTATGCTTGTTATATGGACACAAATGTATGTGAAGGGCATGTGATATGCACAGGAGTCCCAACCTACTGTCTGCATTTTTTCTCATTTACTCTTCACTTTGTTTTTGCCAGAAGGGACTCTTGATTGAATTTAGAATTTGCCTATAAGAGTAGTCCAGCTAGTTAGCTTGTTCTGTGAATTCTCATGTCATTGGCTCCAAGGAATGCCAAGTTAGATTACAAAGGATGACCATACCTGCCTGGCTTGTTAAGTGGATTCTGGGAATACACACTCTGGTTAACCTGTTGTGAGGTAAGTGCTTTATCCTCTGAGACATGTCTTTGACCCTGTATTTTAAATTTCTTAATTATGAATTTATTGCATATTATTAGGTTGAGTTTTCAAAGTTCAATGTAAATTGCATGTAAAGGGAACAGACATGCAGATCCAAAGCTACAGGATATCCAAGAGGAGTCCCAGTGAGGGCCCAGTATCTGCAGTGTAGCAGAAGCCAGAGAGCCATTGCAATGACTCATTGCAATGAACACTTAGAAGTAAAGATGTATGGACTAAAGGGTATACTGTGTAACTCACGGTGACACACTACAACTTCCCCACCAAGATTTTTTGGGGGGTTTGTTGCTGTTTGTTTGTTTTGTTTTATTCTTTGGATTTTTGGTTTTTGGTTTTACATTTAAATTTTGTTTTCAGGGGAAGTTGCAAGTGCATAGGGCAGAAGCAAGGGGATGGAGAGATGGATGGGATAAGAATGCATTACGTGAAATCCACAAAGTCAATTAAAAGTTTAAAAAAGAAATAGTTTTGTATCTTTTTAAGATCTCTGCTTCAAAATCGTGGTTCATGGGAAAAAGAATGTGGACTTAGTAGTATAAGTAAATAAGGTAGTCTACTTTCAACCTCATGTTTAATCAATGCTGGGCTACTCTGGCCTCCCCTGATTTTGATAACTAAGAACACTAATTGTCCTTCTGTAGTTCTGTACACACCACCTGAATATAACACCACACATAAGAGTAGCTAGGACAGTGACAAGAAAATAATGATATTCACTAAATATTGTAAATCATTGCTCACTTGGCAATTTAAAATTATTTAATATATTATGATATGTGTTCTCTGTAGTTATGTTGCATGTGAGACATGCTTCAAAATAAAATTATTTGTTCAATATAAAGTCCCAAGTTTGTAAAAATGTATGACTCCTCAGGCATTCATTATCCTCCTGTATTCCCACCCAATCTGAACTCTGACTCTTCTGAAATGCAAAGGAAACTGGCCAAAATAAAACACAGAAGAATAAACAAAAAATCCATAGTGGTCATGGATTCTATTTTAGCTAAATTAAGTATGTACTTATATTATTCCTGAGAAAAAGTAAACATAAAAATATTTGACAACACTTGGCTAAACATTTTCAACATATCTGTTGGTGTATATCTGATACTGTGTCATATGAAGATGAAATTGAAACTTGCCACATGATTATCAGCAGATAGGTAGAGCAAAGTATTCTTCATCATAATTTAAAAGTACCACGTGGTTTTCTGTAAGAAACCAAAATGCAGTTACTTACTCCCCAGTGAGTTTACTGCAACAGCCTTGTGGCCAAACTGTGTCTGCCATTCTCAGAAAACAAACCCTCTACTTAGAGACCTGCCTTTCAATTCCTGAGAACTTGTGCCTTACATGAGCTCTTCTGAGGTTTGACTAGAGACATCTCTGTAAGTCTAAGTAGTAACATTCAAGATTTATTGAACTGTTTTCCACAATGAGGCTGTCATGATATACAGAGAATTAAAGAAGAAAAGAGGTGGGTTTTCCACGAGTTATTTTTTGCATAATACACACATGATTAACTTGATACAGCTTTGTAAATAGGAAAGAGGATAAGAGAATACTTATTAGGATTAAATGTGCTTTTATGAACCTAAAACTGTCATTATTGAATTGACCAAACTGTATAGTTACATCAAATTCTGTGAGAGTACAAATGACCTGAACATTTCCTTCATAAAGAAAACTAGATGAGATTTTTTTCCTAGTTCAATTCTTTCCTTCTTAAATTTGATAACAAATCCTCAATTACTTTTTCCTAAAGTGAGTTATAACCAATGATACATTAATATGTGCCAAAAGGTCCCAGGATATTTATGCTTATAAGGATTATTTATACTATTTTATTTCATGTTGCTCTTGGGAATTGATCCAATATCAAGGGCCAATTACCTCCAAATAGGGTTTTGTTGGTAATGGGACTTATGGACTTGTGAAGACTGGAGTGGTCAGGTTAAGTGGCCCCAGGGAGACTCTGCCTATGGTCCCTCAATTGTCAGTCAAGCCCCATGGTAAATTGCTGTTTATATTATAGCTCTCCATGCTTCTGTGTCCAGGAATTTGTTAGAAAAACACCTCAAGGCTCTTTTCTCCACAAGTTATACATTTTCCCCTATGGGTAGAGGAGTGTTATTTTCAATTGGAGACCAAAGGGAAAGAAAAAACGAGCCAGACATATTGAACTTAGATCTTTCTCATTTAGAGTCTGGGATCTGTCCACATTATAAATTTTACAGGGATAACTCCAGTAGAGGAAACTTGTGGTTTTCTAGCTCTGTCTGTACCTGGGTGAATAAGTGGCATTCTTTGTTGCAGTTTTAGCAAACTCTGTCCTCCAAAGTAGCTTTTGTCATAAATAATAGTGATGCATTTACTTCCTTCTGCTGGACCCCTGCATTTAAGCCCCCCTTTCTCAGGTTGCACTTTATATTTATTGATGAAGGTTCTTGTTTTAGCCTACTGAAATTTTAATTCATCCATTTCTTTCCCGTGGCTTTCAGTTCCATTATAGGCAGGAAACGTCAATTCCACTGCCACATTTAAATTGATTAACAGGTTTAACATAGGAAATAGCCAATAAATGTTTTGGACTAAATGAATTAAGAGTAGAGTAAGGATTGCATAAGAAAAAATTCTTTGGACAGATATTATAAGTCTTATCCATCCAATAATGC